TACACAGCATGTCAACAAACCGTGGTAAGGGTCTCTATGCATGAGTATTTACGAAGGGTATGTTGTGACGTACCTTCAAAATTACCGCGGTCCCTCGCTATAACGCGGCCTCGCTGTTTCGCACATTTTTTTTGTGCAAGTTTGCATGTTTTTTTGGGTTTTTTTGCGCACAGCGCTTTGTGTTCTGCGTCCTGATTGGCTGCAGTCTATTGTTGATCTCCTCCGTGCCGTCTCTCCTGTACAGTACAGAATCGCTGATTCATTGATTCATTAATGATTCATTGATGTTGAATTCTCTCTCAGCTGCTCTGTTCTCATGTGCTGGACCTGAAAACACGGTTTGATCTTTGGTTTCTGTAATACTGGACTTATTTGTCTACGAAGGTTTGAACTTTGAGAGCTTAAACAGGAGAGAAACGTGTGAAAATGTTCATGTCGGTCTGAGTGTATAAAGTGTGTAGTGACGGGTTTTACAGCCTTAAAACATTGATAATAACGGTGAAAAATAAAGTTGGCTACTTCAGATTTCACCAATCGCATTTTATTTTTAGAATGTAACTCCCGCGATAAACGAGGGAGCGCTGTATACAAATACTGAGAAGTATAAAATTTGAATCCTGTCTCTCTCTGAGGCGCGGGGGAAAAAAATATCGACAAGTCGATCAACATCATCTACAGATACATTTGACATCTCGAGAAATGTAAATCGCCACTTGATTCGTCCATTTGGTTGAAAAACCCGACCGTGAACAAGGAGCGAATATCACACCGGAAACTAAGCGCTATGCCCTGGAAGTAGCATATGCTAAGGCGCAACGGTCTAAGTTATAGGTCTAAGTTCCCCATAATGCACTGGGTGTTTCTTCTTCACTCAACATGTGTTAGTAGACCTCTCTGCATTCAGCCCGTCTGCCCCTCATCTATCGATGGATGTTTGTTAGAGGCTTTGGTTCCCACTGTCGCTCACAGACGGTCACCTAATGTTTCCCTGTGTAACTGCAGGGTCTTTGCCTTATAACATAGAAGCAGCTTGAGGTAACTGTTGTTGTGATGCTGTGTGTGTGTGCAATAAAGCTCCCTTACTGACAGTGGGTCACCACAGCTTGTAGCTCCATGTATTTGATGTGGCACGTTTGCCCTCGCTGACACAACCTTAAAGGGATTTGTGTGTATGAATAAAGTTTATTGTTCATACAGTTCATTGCCGTATGTCTGTGAAAGGCTGAATGAGGGTTGTAGCTCCCTCAGCAGCTGTGGAGCGATGGAGATGTGGTTGGTTGGACACGCTGCTTTAGTTTACACTACAAACCACACTCACCTGTTTAAACTCCTTTTGTGTTACAACCACCTTGTTACACTCAAACACCAGATGATGCATCTGAGCCAACTAAGGATTCACTGAGACTGAAGAAGCTCGAGATCATAAGAATTTGAGGCTCAGCTGATACAGTATCATAGGAGAATCCAACCATTGTATGTCAAGAGACTATAGGCAGTGAAAGCTCCATCTGGAGGAGGAACGACGTGGTTCAGAGCGTTGCCTCCTGCAGCTGGTGACATGTTCAGATTTCAGCTCTGTCGGTTAGAAAGTCTGTTTTTGTTTTTCATCTGTGTGTTGCTCTTTCATCCTTTTCTTCTTCCTGTTTCTTGCATCAAGCTGGCTGACTTCACCACTGATGAGGTAACCATGAGCAGTAAGCCTCGTGTCGCTCACAGTTACATTTAACATAGTGCGATAAACACACTCAGTCATTATAAGGTACATCCTCTAAAGGTTCACATAACAGACAAACAGGATAATAAAAATAATCTGGTTCTTTGCAGCGTCCTCAGATGAACAACACACGACATTATTACACGTCTCAGTATTTGTTACACTGAACACAAATATAAACACAACACTTTTGTTTCCATGAGCTGAACCGGATCCTGACTGGTTTTGCGACATGTGTGTCATTGTGCTACACATGTACGGCATATTTCAGAGTGGCCTTTTATTGTGGGCAGTCTCAGACACACCTGTGCAATATTCATGCTGTCTAATCAGCACCTTGACATGCCACACCTGTGAGGTGGGATGGATTATCTGCCATAAACCGATATTGTGGTCAACAATTTCAGTTCTAAGGTCACACAGCAAACCATTGTTATGGAACACAAATACAAACTGTGTTGATACATAATACAAAAAAATTGTAGCAATATGGTTTGAAATGCGTAAAGGTAGTGTGTTAGGGAGCAATTTATCCGACTCGTTTCCCTTTCAGTGTTCACACAACAAAGTAAATTCAGTGTGTTCTGAAATCAATAAATTTCTTCTATGACTTTCAGGCTGGTAAGCAGGCAGGGCAGGTCAGAAGATGTCTTCATCATTTCTTCCTCATTAGCTTCCAGCAACTGCTTTTCTCTTCATATCTTCTGTAACACATTCACAACAGTTGATATTAACAGTGTTTAACCTGCTTTTTCTTTTCAGGTGGAAGTTTGGAAAGCTGTGAGGGTCTCAGGCAAGGAGTGAGCAAAAAACAGAGGCTCAGTTCTTTTCTCCTGTTCTAGTGGTGACATCTTCAGAGAGCTTAGGATAAGTGTCTCCTCCATATTTGGAGCTTCCCCCCTTCTGCACACACCAGAAGGTATGATTCACTCTTTACTTGTGGCAGACGAATCTGTAGGACAAAGAAAGAACATTACAAAAATATTTTCTTTAATCATTCATTAAACTGAATTGTACATCATGTTTAATTTGGCCATTAGAGGTAAAGTATTCTTGGGGAAGACTAAACCCCAAATTGCCCCAATTCTATTTATACAGCACCAACAGCATAACGGTCAGTCGGTGCCTTTTTATATTGCAAGGTAAAGAACCTGCAATACATATAACATATTACAGAGAAATCAGAGAAAAAATCAGTTTAAAAAAAAGACTTTAAGTGAAACTTGAAACTAACTGATTTGTGTCATCTGGCTTCATAGATAAATGTATGTTGTCTAAGGGAAGCATGTTTACCCACACAAGCTTGAATATATCAATAAATAACATTTAAATAAATGAATAATCCCCTTTTTACTAGTGGTATATTATTATGTCTGTAATACAATGTTATCATGAACATTATGAAATACTGCTCTGAGGTTCAACACAGAGATTAAACCCTGTCATAAGAAGATCGTAACATTCACTGATAATGTGCTATGATACAAATCTAAATCCTGGATGAATTCATTCAAACAAGCCATTCCTCTACAAATGAATCACAGTTGATGTTTCTATTCCACATTTGATGATGAAAGTCTTTGAATGACCTTGTAGGAGTGTGGTCTAATAGACATTGATGCTTTGGATGAAGTAATTATTGAAACTGACTTGGTAAGTTCAATAGGACCAAAAGTGTTTGAATACATGTCAGCAGTTATAAAAGTTGTTATACTTTCTAAGTACCTGGTGTTGCTGTGGTTTCTCTGTTGTGCTGTTGTTTGGTTGTTGTTTTTTTCAGCAGGTAACCAAGCAGATTTTCAGTGTGTGTGTCACACTGATCAGTGTCAATTTAGGATTCAATATCTAACCCAAGGATATTTGACAAGGAGACCGGATTAAAACATCAACACAACTGGACAAACCAGTCTACCTCATGAGCCACAGCCTCCCATAATTTTAATAGAAATCCAGTAAACCTTGCAGTGAACTCATATTTATCATTATACATCCTAGTAAGTATAGTGAAATAAAATGCATTCTTTTACAAAGTAGGAGCATTTACAAACACGTTTCATGAACGTTTAATTAAAAACGCGTCTTATTTCATAGTGTAATCATCACATAACTTTTTCAAAGCACACTTTGTCTTGCACCGCCCACTAATTATATTCACACTAAGTATATATCCACACAATAATATCAGGGATTGTAACATCTAGTCCCTTTATTGAATTCACACTGGGTCTTTATGGACTCACTAGCTTAGTTTAGCTTGTAACCGACTCGCTAGCACCATGACCTTTTCACTAGGGGTGCAACGATACACAAAATTCACGGTTTGGTTCGGTTCGATACTTTGGTGTCACAGTTCGATATTTTTTCGATACAAAAAAAATGTTCATGCCTTTTTAATTTGTCATTTATTAAAATTATAAATATATATTTTAACTCAAAAGTACAGTTTTTAAATTTAACCCTAACCCTTGTGCGTGTTTTTTATTTTGACAGCGAATGCGCACCTGCGGACCACTTATGTGCAGCCCTGGTTATTTAGCTCGTCATATCGCAGCCACAGAAATTATTTTGTCCATGAAACCATAAAGCTGCACTTTCTTTTTGCCTTATAGTCTGATTTGTCATAACTTCTCCGTTTTGTGGTAAGCTTTTCTTTGGCGACAGGAAGCAGCATGTGAGGCTGGGAAAGAATGTCTCGGACTCCCGGACCATCAGCACCGGCTCCCCTCAGGGCTGTGTTCTTTCTCCTCTGCTCTTCTCCCTGTACACCAACTGCTGCACCTCCACCCACCAGTCTGTCAAGCTAATCAAGTTTGCAGATGACACCACCGTTATTGGGCTCATCTCGGACGGGGATGAGTCTGCCTACAGGAGGGAGGTTGAACGTCTGGTGTCCTGGTGCAGCCACAACAACCTGGTGCTGAATGCCCAGAAGACAGTGGAGATTATTGTGGACTTCAGGAAGCACACAGCTCCACTCCCCCCCATCATCCTGACTGACACCCCCATCACCTCTGTGGACTCATTCCGCTTCCTGGGTACCACCATCACCCAGGACCTGAAGTGGGAGCCCACCATCACCTTCCGTCATTAAAAAAGCCCAGCAGAGGATGTACTTCCTGAGGCAGCTGAAGAAATTCAACCTGCCAACACGGACGATGATGCAGTTCTACACTGCAATCATCGAGTCCATCCTCACCTCCTCCATCACTGTGTGGTACGCTGGAGCCACTATCAGGGACAAACAGAGACTGCAGCGTGTTGTGCGCTCTGCTGAGAAGGTGATTGGCTGCAGACTCCCATCTCTCCAGGACACTGCGGCGTGCAGCTCGGATCTCAGCTGACCCTTCTCACCCTGGACACAGTCTGTTTGACCTGCTCCCCTCAGGCAGGAGGCTCCGGTCCATTCGCACCAGAACCTCTCGCCATAAGAACAGTTTCTTCCCCTCTGCTGTTGGACACATGAACAATAACCGTATGACTGTTCCCACCACTAACACATGACCCTACGCTGTGTTCACTGCATCATTCCATGTTTGGCACTGATCACCACCTGCACTCATGTATATATCTATATCTACTTAGCACTTTTAATTCTATTGTCTATTTTAATTTATGACAGTATGTTTGCACTGAAGCACCGCAGCAATTTCCTAATGTTGTAAACCTGCTCAACATCTTGGCAATAAACTGCACTTTCTTTTCTGATTTGTCATAACTTTTCCGTTTTGTGGTAAGCTTTTCTTTGGCTGTCACTTCTTCACCCTGACCTGTCTTATTTGGCTCAGCAGAACTGAAATATATATCCTGCTGCTTTTACACACGCACTCACATAAGCTCAGCGATTCTCTGCACGATCAACCTCTCACATGTTTAAGCTTGCTGCGGGAGATTTCACTTGTCATGTTTGCATAGTAAGCTAACGATTAATAAGACGATGTCAGAGGAATTGGTGCACAAATTATCATCACTCACAGATCAGTGCTGTCGCTCTCTATACACAGTTCACACGAAAGCAAAAAAACAAGCGCAAATTCAAACGCGATTTCAATATGTCACATATTGACAGTGGCTCACCGATGCCAATGACATAATTACCCAGCTACATTTCTGAAAGAATGCAAAAGCATTGACATATATTTTTCGTACAATAGCCCGACGGGCAGGGAAGAGATAGATTTTGGTAGCCCGACTGAAAAAATCGCTAGCTCCGGGACGTCGGGCTAGCGATATTGCAAGCCCTGTATCTGATTGAGGAATCACTCATCTTTGGAAAAGAGAGTTTATTACAGAGAAATGTCTCTTTCCAAAATAAAAGCTATACTATCCGCTTCTTCTGGGCTATATTCTCAGCAGCATAAGGAGAATCATGTGCTAACAGCTGTCTAAATGACTCGGCTAAAGTTAGTAGCATGCTTGTTGTTTTTGTCTTTGCACTAGGATGATGTCGGCGTAAATGTGCAGTCATATTCGTTGTGTTCCCACTAGTGCTTTCAGGTTAATCTCGTTGAAATGACCTTAACGCCACAACACGGCAAATCTCCGTTAACGAGCTACCGCCGATCGCCCGTGCATGGGGCTAGACGGCCAACACGTTAACGAGCTAACTGCGCTAACACACTAGTTCCCACCCATGTAATTGAGCATTGCATGGCACATCCAACATACTGTTTTACTTTAGTCCATGACTCGCTTACCTTCAGGGTCATACGTCACATGAAAACCAAAATAATTCCAAACGCCAGATCTGAATGAGGGTGGGGGAGGTCCATGTGTCTTGCTAGCTTGCCCTGCGCTCTTCCTTCTGACTATGCTGTCTGTGTTGAGCGCTCAGTGGATCTGCGCTCGACAGTGCAGCCTAGGCGGAGTAGTCGAACGCAGATTCACTGAGCGCTCAACACAGACAGCATCGTCGGAAGGAAAGTTGATAAAATAAATTACAAATGTTGTATTGTTCGATACATATGCGTACCGAACCGAAAGCACTGTATCGAACGGTTCAATATCGATACGAATATCGTTGCACCCCTACTTTTCACCTATCCCTCATGCCCATTCTTGCGCAGGGTTTCAGATGTTTTTGTTACTTCTGTGCATCCTATAGCAGTAATGATACTTGTAATAAATGTAGTCTGTTTCATATGGAGGCCAGAATCACTGAAGGCCCAACTCCACACCCTTGAAAAACCCATAGCTAGCTAGTCCCCTGTTGGTGTGCCCAAAGCTAGCATAGGCACTGTTAGCGCTCCTCCAGCGGATTGTCCCGAGCTCCTGGGAAAACAGGATGGCTGGGTGACGTGAGGATGAAGCATAGTCCTAAACAGAAGACCTCTGTATATCGCCAACCTGTTCTTTTTCTAATCGTTTTTCCTCAATGGGCAACGTTCGCTGAGAAAAAAACAAATTCATAGATTTATTACTTCTAGACTGGACTACTGTAATTAGTTATTAGCAGCATGTCCTAAAAACTCCGTGAAAAGCGTTCAGTTGATTCAAAATGTTTTTGTCAGATCATTTCTCAATATTACTTACATTTACAATAATGGTTTATGCCGCAGTGGGGAATAGATTGTATCACAGTAGATGTCTTTCTGAAAGTGCTGTAACTACGTTTAAAGAAAAATAATAATTCATCCAATGTTATCATCTTTAACGCCATGTGGCTGTAGCTCAGGAGGTAAAGCAGGTCATATACTGATGCAAGGTTGGTGGTTTAAACCCTGGCTGTACCACTATGCATGCCTGAATATCCTTGGGCAAGATACTAACACTAAGTTGTTCTCCCATGCATCCATTGGAGTATGAATGAGTGTAATTGGTAGATAAAACGGACTTAAGCATAGAAGAATGTGATTGTGTGAATGAGGAATAAAGTGCTCTGGGAGAGTAGGAATCAGTCCTGTTACCATGTGCCAGTGCAGAGCAGCTACCTGAACTCTACTCCCACAGAGGTTGATTATCTTGTTAATAATTTTACATCTTTACTATGTACAACTCTGAAAAAGACCACTTCCAATCAGAAGTCCTTGACTCTCTGGTATAACTCTCAGACGCACACATTGAAGCGGATAATTTGGAAGCTGGAGAGAAAATGGCATCTAATTTAGAAGATCATAATTTAGCCTGGAAAAATACAACACATTACAATTCACCACTGAAGGAAACAAGAACAACCCTTGGTTTGTCTTCAGCACTGTAGCCAGGCTGACAAAAAGTCAGAGCTCTGTTGAGCCAAACTTTCCATTAATCTTAACTAGTAATGCCATCATGAATTTCTTCACAAATAAAATTTGAACAGTTGGAGAAAAAAAATGGTTGCATGGTCGTTGGCCAGCTCCCTTGGTGGTCCAGGGTAGCTCGGACTTTTTGAGAACCTGGGGCCACGGCTTATACCAGGGTGGCCTCTGGTCCTCTGTGACTCTTGCCCTTTGGTTGTAGGCACTCCATCTGGGGCCTCCCTCCTGTTGGGATGGACGTGCAGGTGTTGCAGAGATGTGTGGCCTCTGGTCTTAGGTACTCTTGGGGGCTGCGGATGGAATGGATCTCCTGGATCTACCTCTGTCTGCCTCTGACTCCTGGGGGCTGTTATTGCAGCTTCCCACCCTTATTTTCAAGTACATTTCATGACAGAGACACAGACATTCACAGTCTCTTTCTCACAAACCACAAGACATCTGTGCATTTTCATATTTTTGTGTTCCAGGTGCTATATGTTTTTTCCAGTTGGTGATCCAGTGTGCATTTCTATTTGTACTGTATCCTTAGTTTGACCTCCTTCCTTTTTTTTCTCCTGCCTGTCCTGCCTTAGGATTTGTCATACTATAAAAGATATAGATATAGATCATTTAAGGAAAATGTGTTTGGCACAACAGTGCCTTCAGATCATAATTCTGATTGCAAAAGCTTCTAGACAGGACAGGATTTTTGTTTTAAAAAAAAGAGTTTCAGTCAGGTTTCAGAGCTCATCACAGCACAGAAACAGCTTTAGTGAAGGTTAAAAATGATCTTCTTATGGCCTCTGACAGTGGACTCCTCTCTGTGCTGTCCTGCTATACCTCAGTACAGCATTCAATACTGTTCAATATATAATAATTTATTACAGCTTGCTTCCCTTGTGCAGTATCATTAGAAAGCACAGAGTACATTTTCACTGCTATGCAGCTTTATCTATCCAAAAAGCCAGATACCACACATCAATTTGTTAAACTGCCTGTCTTAATCTAAATGTCTTAAAGACATAAAGACCTGGATGACCTCTAATTTTCTGCTTCTTCAGGTCAAACTGAGGTTATTGTACTCAACCCAAAAGTAAACCCACAAGAGTAATTAAAAGTATAATGTGGTGGGATGGATGTGGATGGATATGTGTGTCTGTGCAGTTTCTGTGTGTGGGTCTGTGTGTGCATGTGGCTAGGAATGGGCCTTGATCCTCAGGGACATTGTTATTAGGGGTGGGGGATTCCCTTCCTGCTGCTCCTCATTGGTTGTCACAGACCTACCCACTTCCTCGGGATTTGAGCGCTTGGTGACTCCGGGGTAGCTGACTGGGCGTTTTGGCGTGGTTGGTTGGCTCCCTTGGAGATGTGGTCTGGGGTAGCTTGAGAGCCTCTTTATCATATGGTGGAGCACAGCTGGGTTTTGGGTGGTTCTCGAACATCTCGGGGACTGTGGCTCCATCTGAGGCTCGTGTTGGGGTGGCCGGCCTCCAGCAGGGTTGACTGTCCAGTGCCTCTGGTCTGACACCCCCATCCGAGCTGTTGGAGCTTGTTCCGGGACCTCCCTCTTCTCTTGGCTGGGGTGGATGCATGGTTGTCATCGGGCTGTGTGGCCAGGTCTCTTAGGTGCCGTGAACAGTCAGGATCTCCTGGGTCTTTCCCTGTCTGCTTCTGGCTCTAGGGGCATGGCATTATTGCAGCCACTCATCCTCAATTTTCAAGTACGTTCAATGACAAACACTTATACACAAGCACTCACATTGCCTGTCTCTCTCTCTCTCTCTCTCTCTCACACACACACACACACACAGAGGAAAATTGCATATTTGTTTGTTTGTGTTTTTGTGGTGTGTATCGTTTGTGTGTGCTTTGTTACAGAATCTATTCACTTCATCCCCCCCCCCCCCCCCCCCCCCCCCCCCCCCCCCCCCCCCCCCCCCCCCCCCCCCCCCCCCCCCCCCCCCCCCCCCCCCCCCCCCCCCCCACCCCCCCCCCCCCCCCCCCCCCCCCCCCCCCCCCCCCCCCCCCCCCCCCCCCCCCCCCCCCCCCCCCCCCCCCCCCCCCCCCCCCCCCGTAAGATAAGCAAGAGTAATACTGTCACTTTCGCTGATTTGCCCTTATGTTCTTCGTTCCTGCATAACAACATCTGCAAGACAGTCATATGAATAGTAAAATAAAGTAAACCAATAAAACAAAAACATTAGACTACAAAGACCTGGATGACCTCTAATTGGTGCTTCCCTTGGGAAAGCAAATATGGTTAGCACAACAAAGTATTCAGAACATAATTCTGCTTGCCACAACTGCTGGACAGGACAGGTTAAAAAAAAAAAGAAACAATGGGAGGTAGGGCCTTCAGCTTGCAGGCCCCTCTGTGGAACCAGCTCTGAGTCTGGATTTGGGAGACAGACCCCCACTCTACTTTTTTGATTAGGCTTAAAATTTTCCTTTTTGACAATGCACACAAAGCAAATCGTTGCGGCTGGATTAACACTGTATTAGGTCAAGGCTGCTAGGGGGTTCCCATGATGCATGAAGAAGAGTGTTTCTTCTTCACTCACTATGTGTTTATACACCACTCTGCATTTAATCATTGGTTATTATTAATCTCTGGCTCTCCTCTACAGTATGTCTTTGTTCTGTCTTCCTCCCCTCACACCTAACTAACTGGTCAGGGCAGATGGTCGCCCCTCCCACCTAACTAACTGGTCAGGGCAGATGGTCGCCCCTCCCTGAGTCTTCTTCCTGTTGAAAGGGAGGTTTTCTTTCCACTGTTCCCAAAGCACTTGCTTATAGGGGGTCATATGATTGTTGAGATTTTCTCTGTTTTGTCTATATTATTGTAGAATCTTTACCTTACAATAAAAAGTGCCTTGAGGCAATTGTTGTTGTGGTTTTACGCTATATAAATGAATTCAATATATAAACAATTTTAATGACAGTGACATTGCTGACAAATCTGTAGAAACTATATACTGACTTGCAAAATCTCAAATGATTTTTTGTAATCCACTACACCAAGTTCTGAAACTGTTTGAGAGCAGAGGTGATGTTATTTTCAGTATAAATAAATAGTACATTCAAAATCAACCCAAGACCCAAAAAGATATGAGCCCCCCAGAACAAAGCAAAACAATATTTTTTTATGTTTTGTACGGTGTCTTGTATATGAAATGAAGTATCAAATAAAAACATTTCACTGAAGACGTGTTGAAGCTTTGACATATTGTTGAACATCCCATAATATAAACCTGAAAAATAATGTTAGGCCAAACAAGGACATAGAGTCTTTCCCAGAGTTATTTTAAGGAGACTTGCAAATTACATATTTGTTGAGGAAAAATCTATTCTACTCAACCAATGTGGAAGTTAAATGGGAGACACAGATTCATTTGATTGATGTTCCCGATCTTTTTTTTACTCTTTTTACTCAGACATTCTAATGTAGAACACTAACTGTAACTGATACAATATTTCTATAGCATTATATCTGTACCCTGTGGAACAGGAGCAGGTGGCGGTGGAGAGGAATCACCAGTGGGTAATGGCAGGCTGGAGGTGCTTTCCTTCTCTGTAACAAATGCAAGTTTTCAATAGTGAATGTACACAGAGACTATGGGTAAGCTAACTGTGACAACCACTGTAATAGTTTATCAAATACATTGGAGAATCAAACAGATACATGCTTGTTTTTAAAAAGTGCTTTGTTTCTCATGTCAGGCAGAGAAAGACAATATGAAAGTGGATTAAAGATAGGCTTACATCCCTTGTTGCTTCCACACAGTGGGCAGGCAGAGCAAGAGATGATGGGCAGCTACTCAACTCTGTCATTGGATGAGAGAGAGGAATGTCAGTGTTTATGATGTGTGTGCACTGTTGCAGGCATTTGGCTGTTTGTGTGCACTGTTTGCCATCCACATTTGTAGTAACACAAAGAAGAGAGAGAACCGATTAAAAAACAGTACGTATATGAGATGAACAGAAAGAAAAACAATGTGTGTAAATAGAGGAAGAAAGCAGGTGGGTGAAAGCTGTGAAGTCAAATTGACTACTCACTTTTTTAATAGCCCCAAATGAAGCAAGGCACATGCTTTATGTCACAGGTGTCGAACTCCAGGCCTCGAGGGCCGGTGTCCTGCAGGTTTTAGATGTGTCCTAATCCAACACAGCTGATTTAAATGGCTAAAAGACCTCCTCAACATGTTTTAAGTTCTCCAGAGGCCTGGTAATGAACTAATCATGTGATTCAGGTGTGTTGACCCAGGGTGAGATATAAAGCCTGCAGGACACCAGCCCTTGAGGCCTGGAGTTTGACACCCCTGCTTTATGTGTACATGCTTTTGCACCACATTTATCCATCAGTCCAGCAGTATCACTGATCTTTAAAAACCTCATGACACTGTATTAAGATCCAATTTTCTGCATACGAGCGGTATCTTTAGAATGGCTTTTTATCACCATGTTCTGACTGAGGCCTCCAATATAAAGAGACATGGCCGGGATTGTACAGCACTTTGTTTATTCATAGTGGATCAGTGTCGTCTGGAACTCATTCAAGCCCACATATGTTTTTCAGGACAATACAGTGAGTTATACAGTATCTCACAAAAGTACCGTAAATGTCGGGCTATAAGCCGCTACTTTTTGCGCAAGCTTTGAACCCTGCGGCTTTTAGTCAGGTGCGGCTTTTCTATGGATTGTCCGTGATTTTTGTCATATCGTAAGACAATTTGTTTTGTGTGTTCCGCTGTTGTACGGCACTACGTTGCCTGGCGGAAGGATCGGGGTTCAAGAGTGGTATGTTAGTCACATGTCCGTCCGCCAGGCAACGTAGTGCCGTACGAAGTAGCGCGAAAAACAAACTTCAAAGTAGCGGTACGCGTTCAGCGGGAGTCGTGGATGATGAGCGGCGATAAACTTGCAAGTTATGCCCAAAAAGCAAGTTATGCCCAACTCCACCGGTGGATTCTGACAGCGTGGAAAAGTGTGAAAACATCCACGATCACCAATGGATTTTGAAGGGCTGGACTGCTGCATGATGGAGAGGAGGACACCGCCACGGCCCTTCTGAGGGTGTTCGACTCTGACACTGACAATGAGGATTTCTTTGGTTTTGAAAGTGACAACGAAGGAGAGAAGAAGAGTGGATGACGAAGCCATCCTGAGCCTGTTTGTATCCGACACTGGAGAAGAGGACTTTGGTGGTTTTAGTGCGCAGGAAGAAGAGAAAGATGGTGGTGAATGACTGACTTTTCTTCTTGTTAAAGCTGTGTCACTGCACCTGAGCCTAAAAGGTAGTCCGAATCTATTTTTCTGGTGTGCTGTAGGCTACTGTTATGTACTACATGTGCAAATATGTACCCATAACTTGTTTTTCAAAATATTAATAAAAGTGATGTCTCCAAACAGCCATCTCTTTCCTGACAATTCCCTTTGTGCATATTCTCTTACATATGATAAGTCAACATTGAAACACCTGCGGCTTTTGGTCAGGTGCGGCTAATGTATGTACAAAACAGGATTTTCCCCTGATTTTAGCTTGTGCGGCTAATATTTAGGTGCGCTTTGTAGTCCGGGAAATACGGTAAGTACATTTTTGTAAATATTTTGTTATGTCTTTTCATGGGACAACATTGAAGATTTGGCACTTTGATACAATGTAAAATACTCAGTGTGCAGATTCTATAACAGTGTAAATTTGCTGTCCCCCTAAATAACTCAGTGCACCATTAATGTCTAAACCGCTGGCAACAAAAGTGAGTACACCCCTAAGTGAAAATGTCCAAATTGTGCCCAATTAGCCATTTTTCCTTCCTGGTGTCATGTGACTCGTTAGTTTTACAAGGTCTCAGGTTTGAATGATGAACAGGTGTGTTGAATTTGGTGTTGTTGCTCTCACACTCTCTCATACTGGTCATACTGGAAGTTTAACATGGCACATCATGGCAAAGAATTCTCTGAGGATCTGAAAAAAGGACTGATACTCTATACAAAGATGGCCTAGGCTATAAGAAGATTACCAACACCCTGAAACTGAACTGGAGCACGGTGGCCAAGACCATACAGCAGTTAAACAGGAGAGGTTCCACTCAGAACAAACCTCGCCATGGTCGGCCAAAGAAACTGAGTGCACATGCTCAGCCTTATATCCAGAGGTTATCTTTTAAAAATAGATGTATGATTGCTGCCAGCATTGCTGCAGAGGTTGAAGGCGTGGAGGGTCAGCTCAGACCATACGCCGCACATCACATGCCTGTCATCCCAGGAGGACGCCTCTTCTAAGGATAATGCACAAGAAAGCCCACAAACAGTTTTCTGAAGACAAGCAGACTAAGGACATGGATCACCTGTGGTCTGATGAGATCAAGATAAACTTATCTCAGATGGTGTCAAGGATGTGTGGCAGCAACCAGGTGAGGAGTACAAAGACAAGTGTGTCTTGTCTACAGTCGAGCGTGGTGGTGGGATGTCATTGTTTGGGGCTGCATGAGTGCTGCTGGCACTGGGGAGCTACAATTAATGGAGGTAACCATGCCATTAATACACAGTACATGCCACCATGTACTGTGACATACTGAAGCAGAGCATGAACCCCTCCCTTCAGACACCGGGCCACAGGACAGTATTCCAACATGATAACAATCCAAACACACCTCCAGAAAGACCAGTGCCTTGATAAATAAACTCAGGGTAAAGGTACGTGACTGGGCAAGCGTGTCTCCAGACTTAAACCCCATTGAGCATCTGTGGGTGATCCTCAAATGGAAGGTGAAGGAGCAAAAGGTCTCTAACATCCACCAGCTCCATGATGTCATCATGGAGGAGTGGAAGAGGAGTGGCACCCTGTGAAGCTCTGGTGAGCTCCATGGCCACAGGGTTAAGGCAGTGTTGGAAAATAATGGTGGCCACACAAGATATAGACACTTTGGGCACAGTTTAGACATTTTCACTTAGGGGTGTACTCACTTTTGTTGCCAGTGGTTTAGATATTAATGGCTCTCTGTTATGTTATTTAGAGGGGACAGCAAATTTACACTGTTATACAAGCTGTACACTGACTACTTTAAATTGTATCAAAGTGTCATATCTTTAATGTTGTCCCATGAGAACATATAACAAAATATTTACAAAAATGTGAGGGGTGTACTCACTTTTGTGAGATACTGTATATATTTCCATGTGTCTTACTAAAATACCTGGATTAACTGGACTAAATTTAAAATACATCTTTATCTTAACGTGGACTAGACTTCTGTCTATTTCCCTGCTTTCATAAATGGTCACATAAATATTGGTTGACTGATAAAAGTCGACAAAGATCTTCACCATGTCAGAATGATATTGACTGTACTTAAACAGAGGTAGACTGTACGGACTGATGTTGATGATATGAAGATGATGGTGTGGTGAAGGTTGCTCACTTGCCTGTCTTCTTGGAGATTCTCCATTCCTGCATTTCTTCCCTTAATCTATCCATTTCTTTCTCCAGCTCACAATATCGCATCTCTGCTTCATGAAATGGTCTGTAGGATAAAGTAAACTCTGTTCAGTGTCTTATTCTAAAAATGAATTTTAATATGTTGCAGTTACGTCATAGTTAGGGTTTCGAAGTTGATCTGCAGTCAAAACCCTAAATTTTAGCATTGTAAAAAAAATACCTCATACTATTTAACGAACCTTTAAAACCTGTCTGTACTTGACAATGCTACCTACAATTCAGTTTTGAGATCCCTTCCCTGGCGCGTCAATCCCCACTTACATCTTGCGTCAGGTGACCTCAATGGGTACATATTAGGGTGAGGCAAGCTCTCACAATGGTTTCACCCAAAGCCTCTGCTGACAATGACCCACGGCTTTTATCACACCTTGGCTCATGTGGTGAGTCACATGATTAATATGACCCTCTTAAAGGATAACGCCGACTGGGGATTAAATACCTGGGATGCTCCACCATTTGATTTTAGAACTGAAGAAGCTTCTCGGATGAGAGGTGAAATGTCTAGTTGCTTTCTTTCCAAGCTCCTTAGAAAACCATGACCTTGCTAACTGAGAACCTATGGAAGCAGAGTCTGGACCAGCACTTTGGCACTTGCTATTATCATGGGTTCCATTAAATAATAATGGATTGGATTTATATAGCGCTTTTCAAGGCACCCAAAGCGCTTTACAATGCCACTATTCATTCACTCTCACATTCACACACTGGTGGAGGCAGCTACAGTTGTAGCCACAGCTGCCCTGGGGCAGACTGACAGAAGCGAGGCTGCCATATCGCGCCATCGGCCCCTCTGGCCAACACCAGTAGGCAGTAGGGTAAAGTGTCTTGCCCAAGGACACAACGACCAGGACAGAGAGCCCAGGGATCGAACCGGCGACCTTCCGGTTACAGATGCGCTTCTCAACCCCCTGAGTCACGGTCGCCCCTACATGTGTTTTGTGGACATTATACCAATCCCTTTGAATATCCTGCGGGGAGTGCTTTGCGGGTATTGGGTGTGTGGCCAGTTGTTATTCAGTCCCTGTAGCGAGAGCTTGGTTTGTATTGCAGGCAGTAAGTCAGGCTCATTCCTGTGGGTGTTGGACTCTGCCAGGGCTGCCCTTTGTCACCAATTCTGAGCCTAGTTTTTATAGATAAAAGGTGGTTCTGTTGGGTTCATCAGGTGGTGGCCTCCAGCTCGCACTGGAGTTTGTCAATGACAAACAGCAAACACCATACGAGGCTGAAAACTATAGACACAGTGACCTCTCTTCCCCTGAGCTTCAGATCTTTGGACTAAGTTGTCTCTTTCAAAAAATAACTCAAAACTAATCCTTTTATACTTGCATTTAATAAAGTTTTTTTTTTAATGTATGGTATTTTCTTGTGAAGCATTTTGTGATCTTTGTCTTGAAAGGTGATATACAAATAAAATTTTACTTGCTTGCTTTATCATTAACAGTATAACTGAGAAAACAATAAGAATTTCGCAATATAGCGCACTACAATTTTTTTTTTTTTTCTTCTGAATGTCTTTTTTTTTTATCTTGTCTTCCAGTTTTGTTTTTTGGTTGTTTTGTTTTTTTCTTTACCTTAGTTGGGAGCTTATTTACATTATCTTCAATTGCTGAGATTCTTGTTTCAACCTGCATGATTCTTTCCTGATCAAGTCTTCTGGAACTGGAAAACTTGCCAATCCCAGGGCTGATCAACTTAGAGTTCAAGTAAACCTACTTGATCTGCTTTACAGTTCATGGAAGTTATTTATGGCCTAATGAAGGAATAAATGTCTAATACTAATGCTCTAATACAAGTGGTCAGGTGTTAAATGTCACAGTCAATATGTATTTCAGAACAGATTTCAGAAGTCCAGTGGTGGTAAATAGTGCTGGATTGATTTTGTTACCACATTTCATAGTCACCATTATCCGTATGTAATATCTCAGCACATAAATTAACATGCATTGATAACAATTAGCCAGATGTCCATGATGTTAATGGCCTTTTGACCTCAAAAAGGAAATGCAAAATACACTGCAGCTTTTTCATATTGAAATATTTCCTTCAAGGACCAAACCAAACCATTTCCATATTAAATTTTTCTGAAAAAACTTAAGATTTAACATCCAATGAAGTGTAATAAATAAAGCCTACTGTAAATTGAGAAGAGATAGGAATTATATTCAGATTATGTAGATGGACTGCAGATGAGATTATATTAGCTGATACCTCTGCAAGTCTTCATCAAGTCCTGATATCGCCTCCTCCACTGTGGTGGTGTGGGTGGATGCAGCAGCATCTTGGTCTAAAGTAAGTGGAAGCTCAAACAGTGGAGGCAGATTGTCTGGTAGATTGTCTGTAACTTTCCATAGCTGACTCTGAATTTAAAGCACATGCAGATCATCAGTGGGATAAAAAGGAAAGTCCACTATGATAATTACATGATCATAGGTGTCTTTAAATGGAAGCTCTGAGGTGTATGCAGTTTCTAGAGTGAGATCGACTTACCAGTTTTTCGAGTCCATACAGATTCTCACATTCCCTAAGCTGGGTGTGGTTTATCTGCATCATGATATCTTGACTGCGGTCAACAGCACCTGTCTGACTATAAAATATAGACAAAATAAAGAAGTATATTATAAGAAAAGTAATTTATTCCCTACAACAACTTTACCATGGGGATACTTCACCCTGTATATAGGGACCTAGGGACTTCTGAAGATCCCCAAAGAAGGCGCCCTTTCAGAGCCAAACTTGGCAATATAAACTCACCCACCTAGAATCCTGCCAGACTTGCCACCATCTTAGTTCTGCTTATGGGGAACACACCCTATCACACCAAAAACTTCACGGTCTTCACCAACAAGGTCTGCAAACTTACACTGACTTTAAAAGAAAACATAGTGTCCTGTGATATGGTCTCACTTTTCACTTGTATACTTACATTCAAGGCAGTGGAGACTGTCAAAAAACAACAACAGCAAGACAGTTCCTTTCGCAACAGAACCAATGCCATGTGCCATGGGTTCCCCAGTCTCACCCATTGTAGCCAAACTTTACATGGAGGAAGTGTAAAGTAAACCACTTTGCTACCTCTTAAGGATAGTACCTAAGAGGTAGGTGACCCACTCTACTACCTGAGCTACAGCCACTGGTAGGTATGATGTATTTGTGAATGACACCTAAAGAGTAAAATACTTCAACAATTGTTGAACTAAGGTGGTGGCTTAGTTCAACAATTGTTGGTGGCTTATGACACCAGCTGTCAACTGCCTATAATGAAGTCTTTTATCCCCACTCACACCTTGCTACAGGTGACCTCAACAGGTCACATGTTTGGATTGGACACGGTCTCACGGTTTCTTTTTCTTGTTTTTGTTTTTTGTTGTTGTTGTTGTTGCTTTTTTCCCAGAAACACCTGGTGCATTAGCTCTGCGTTGTTTTTCACACCTTGATTAACACGATTAATAGTGGGTCAACCACCACATCCAAAGGGGACAGACCCCTACTGTGGTTTTAATAGCTCATTCAAACCTTTGGCTTTAGAACTTAGGAAGCCTGAGGGGATAAGGGTAAGGACATAAATCAACTGGTAAATAGAGAGCTTCGCTTAAACGCTCTCCTTTAGAGATAGGGCGAGGAGTTCAGCCAACTGGGAGGGGCTCAGAGTAGAGGAGCTACAACTTCACATGGAAAGGAGCCAGTTCAGGTGGTTTGGGCATTTGATTAAACTGCCTCCTTGGTGAGGTCTTCTGGGAGGAGGCCGGGGGCAGACCCAGGACACACTGGAGAGATTACATCTCTCGACTGGCCTGGGAACTCCTTGGTTTTTCCGTAGAGGAGGTGGTTGGGGAGAGGGAGGTCTGGGCTTCTCTGCTTAGGCTGCTGCCCCTGCGACCCAGCCCCAGATAAGTGGAAGAAGTTTGATGTGAAAGGTAGTTATGGTAAGTTAGCTGAAGTACATAAGTTAAACTTGAGTTCACCTGGTAGCAGTGTAAGAGTATCCAACAAAAGCCAAGTGTACTCCTGTTGGAGCTCTGTCCATTACATCAGATAGTGTCTCCTGCAAAACATAACAGATTTCAAATTTTTCATGCAAACAACCACCAACTGCTCTTATTTTGTCAGAAGCTACACACATTTCCCATGTTGACCACACCGGCAGCTTTATAGGATTAGGTTGGTTTATTTATTAATGTTATATGCTGGCTATGAAAGTTAACCAAATATGTTTATATGAGACTTATGCCAGTGTATGGCACACACAAATACTAAATGAAAATTCTTTTAAGTTACCATTTCACTAAGACAGTCGTCGAGGATGTCAAAGTTTGATGTGTCAGTTGGATTAGAGACTTCAGGCAGGAAAGGTGCAGGGACTTTATGCAGGGAACTCCAGTCCAGTCCACTGAAAAACTGATGATTCCTAAATTCACTGGAGCCTTTCCTTCCAAGACGGACTTCCCTGTCACAGATCAGTTCATTGATGAAGGAACGAGCCTCCTTTGAAATCTCAGGGCCAGAAGAAGGAAACTCAAAATACTCCTAAGGGTTATCAAAAAAGGTAACAATTGAAGAAAGTTGTTAACTTTGTTGTTTTTTCTAGCAACATTATTTTGAGTGCTTTTGATGCTGTTAAAAACTATGCTGTTAAAAATTATGATCCTGGCCTTGTTTTTCTGAGCATTCCATAAATTCTTGGTTTGTTTATGTGGCAGAGTGTGGTTTGTGGCTCAGCTGCACTGGGTTCAGGGTGTGGTGTCAGGGGAGCCCAGGCAGAGGATCTTAGCCTGCCCACAGCAGCCAGGAGCAGGTTAGTGGATGTCCACTGGGCAGTAGTAGACCGCTTGGGCGTCATGCCAGAGGACTATTGCTGGCGTTTCCAAGAGGGGACGTTTCTTCTCTTGGACTTTTTGGATTTCAGCAGCTATTCAATAAACTGCTTGCCATAAGTTAAACCCAGTTTGCCTCCCCAGGTCTGCATTTGGGTCCTCACTTCTCGTCTTCCATCTTATGACAAACTTTTACACAAATATAAAAGTATACAGAACCTATAGCTATACACTTGTTATTATATTTATATACAGTTACTTCAGAAAGTATCCATATTCATTTAACTTTTGTAGATTGTGTTTAAGATTTAATTTAAAGCCCAATTGTGCTCAATTCCACACTTATCCAGTCCCTCTGTCAAACTGTCAGTAAACAAGCATATAGTTAGGGCTGGACCAGGTGACCCTGCATCCTCCCTTAGTTATGCTGCAATAGACGTAGGCTGCCGGGGATTCCCATGATGCATTGAGTTTTTCCTTTCCAGTCACCTTTCTCACTCACTATGTATTAACAGACCTCTCTGCATTGAATAATTTCTGTTATTAATCTCTGTCTCTCTTCCACAGCATGTCTTTTATCCTGTCTTCCTTCTCTCACCCCCAACCGGTCGCAGCAGATGGCCGCCCCTCCCTGAGCCTGGTTCTGCCGGAGGTTTCTTCCTGTTAAAAGGGAGTTTTTCCTTCCCACTGTCGCCAAAGTGCTTGCTCATAGGGGGTCATATGATTGTTGGGTTTTTCTCTGTATCTATGAAGCGCTATATAAATAAAATTGAATTGAATTGAAAACTTCAAATTGCCTTTGCTTGGCAGAAAAAGCATTGCATGAATAGACTAAGGTGGTCAGTTTGAATAGAAACTATTATGTAATGGCCAGTTAATATACATTTAACATGAAACAAAATAATAATTGTGTTTATGAAGCTTAGAACAACTATGACCTCATTCCTTTATCAGAAATCACATGAAGGTTATTATGAACTTGATAAGTCAACCAAAGGTTTTTAAACCACCTATACATCATGGTACTATAACCCTTGAAAAAATGTACTTTAAGTTTCTCCACTGACTTATGAAAAACAAAACTGAAACAAACAGACAATCCAGACTAGCAGTGCTTATTTCTGTTTACACTGCATCATAGATATTAAACTGGTGCCATTATGCTATACACACTAGGTTGTATAAACAAATGAATAAAAACAGATTTAAACATTTGGAAATATTTAGTTACAATTTTTGTTTCAGTCCGGAGAATTACACTCAGATACTGTCTTCTTTAAAAACCTTTTTGGTTTGGATAAAGTGATAAAGGCCCATTTGGTCCATTATAATTGTTGAATTATGTGCCAAAATTGCATTTTGTTATTTTTTTGTTTTACCAGCACACAGACGGATCATTAAAAATACTTGCAACAGAAGTGAATGGAAATCTGCCATCGCTATTAAAATGTGTGCAGAAATTTTATTATACTCCAAATTTTCATTTTGGCATTTATATGACATTAAAGCTACTTGTATGTACCTGAAAGTGAATGATCTTGGCATATGTTTCAGAGATGGACTCTGCATAGAAAGGTGTGGTCCCCAGCAACATCTCATAAGCACAAATGCCCAGAGCCCACCAGTCACACTCAGGACCATAACCTCCACCTCCCTCAACTGCTCTTAAGATCTCTGGAGACAAATAGTCTGGGGTCCCGACTGCTAAAGACGAGTGCACCTGCAAAGAAAAGAAGATAGATTTTAAAAAAAATAGAAATAACTAAAAGCCATGACCTGCTTCAAGGAAATACTAGAATGTAGCAAAATCATCACTGCGTGTTTTTAGTCCTGTCTTAAAAATGAACAAAAGGAAGCTCCATGACAAGTAAACTGTGAGTTTTTGTTGTTGTTGTTTGTTTTTGTTTTTTTAATTACAGCCGAGGAGGTCAAATGCGCCCTCCCTCTGAAAGCAGTCTTGTCACAGACAAATAGAAGAAAATGGTATTGAGTTGAAAAGGAACACAATTTGTCCCGTACTTCAGCTAGAATGAAAAAAAGACTCAAAGCTGGAGTTATTAAGTGTCTTTACGCTGCGCAGCTGCCTCTTCTTCTCTCATTCTCTCTCCCTCCCTCTCCTGTTGCTACTTCAATCGTGAAACTGATCAATGATCCGCTGATTGGCTTTTCTCTCTTGTTTGTTTATCGCCCACTTTGCACCAGAAAGAGAAAACCAGCAGATGTCGCGCTAAACAACAGCAGCAGATTTAAGCTCGATAAGCTGTTGTTAGAATTGATTTAATATTACTTTCTAGTATCAGCTGATGTTTGCTGGGTCTAGCAAAGTTTTTCCAGGGGGGGCAGGTAGGGCATTAACAGGGATTGGGGGGCACAAAGAAATACTTTTCTTTCTTATTCTCATTTAAAATGTCTAGCTTTTAATAAATAATTATCTGACTCTTACAGCCAGAGTGGTCATAATGTAAAATGTATAGAAAACATACATATATACCAACAAGACAGTGTGCATCACTGTCACAACACCATTTGTGTTCATTCAAAGGCTTCATGGCTTTTCCTATAATACCTGGTGGGCTGGTCTCTAGTCAAAATGCCCGGGCCGATTTTTTTGTCCCAGTCCAACCCTGTCCAGGTCAAGGGATGTGCAGACCTTCCTCTCTCCAGGTATTCCATGACATATTGTAATCTTTACTGTAAAACTAGACTGTTGCTATGAGTTAGTTTAAGAATGTAACTGAGAATGTATGAGAGCACTACTTTTAGGAGACAGTATTGCTTTTTATGCACATCTTTTTTTGTGAAAACTAATGTCTGTCTGTCTGTCCGTTGTTACTTGCACACAATGAACTCTCACCATCCCATCATCAAGTAGCCTCAGACAGGAACCAAAGTCTCCCAGTCTAATATGCCCATCAGCTGTCAACAGGATGTTGTCAGGTTTGATGTCTCTGTGTAAGAAAACAGGTAAATAGGGCTATTTAACCTCTAAATGTCAGATTTCATTAACAAAAAAAGTCATTATGATCAAATGATTATAGTTTGTTTATGTTAGTCAGTTTTAGTAGAGAGCTAATATTAATATTTGAACCTCATATCTCTGATACATATATTTTAGATAATGTTTCTCTGCAAACTCTGTACACAGCAAATTCAAAAGTGTTAAATGTTTTGGTGTTAATAGTCTTCTTGCAAAAGTAGAGTTAATTTTACTCTAAG